TACTTCATCAGCAAATCGCTTTTGTTGGCTAAATCCTCCTCCACATATTCATACTTTACCCCCTTCAGTTGTAGAGCCCATATGATCCTGTAAACATAAGGACTTGGCCAAGCTCCAAACAGCTTCACTTCATCCATCGTCTTGAGATTTCTCCTGCCTATATTCAGCTGAGCCTTTGAGAATTCTAATATACAACTGAGTGGCTGGAAAACTGCAAAAAAGAAGGCTGAATTTATTTTGGCCTTATTATCGTGGCCTTCAAGGTTGGCAACTAGACATTTCGTACTTTTTGACCAACGAGCGAATCGAAGTTCCTTTCAAGTCTGCCGTCTAGTCAGACGGGAAACAGCAAGGAAAGAGCATGATAATTATTATAATTTTTACACTTTTAATTTTTTAAAAAAAAAGAATTTATAAAGTTTGAATCTTTATATATTTATGTATATATCCTTTTTTTTTGTGCCAACTATATATATATCAATAATATTAACGTGCAAGCGAAGACAAACAATAAGGATTAGAGAACAAATAATACCCAAATGATAAAACAGAAATTAAAGCTGATAAGAGACGATAATAAAATCTAACGATTAAGGCAGGAGAGATTTGCCAGAAAAGAAAAGGTGGCAATAAATCTAGTTATTACATAGAGCAGTCTACACAGAGGCTATCTAATGAAGTGAAGTGACCTATACAATCATATAAACTAGACAAGTTTATTATTCCTAACGTTACATGCTTAACTAGAAATCTTCACCCTGGTTCACTGAACAACTTAGAATTTTGAGATTCCTCAATGTCCCTCCCAGGTATAACGTAATTCATCACGGTTCTGAGACAAATCCGTGAGGTAAATCCCCTGATCTTTAGCGACCCAGATGCAGTTCTTCCATTGACACTTCCGGAAGAGACGGTCATCGTACCAGAAAACCTCAAACTCAGCAGAAACACCTGTGTCTGTTCTAAGGTGGCACCAGAATAAAGTGGAGTGGGAGAACTCCGTCCTGAAACTCCACGTCAGATTGGACCCCCCAGACAGATTGTGGGTCCCCAGATCATCCTCTTGGGATTTGCATCTGGTGAACAAGTTCTGGTTGTTGCTCAGACCATTCACTATGTACACGTGCCACTTTATGAACTCTGGAAATATATTGTCTTTCACCGGCAAAGCATTTGAACCATCACTTGCCATGGCTATTGCGCCTGGTGCCCGTACCAATGTTACTACTGCTACAAGATTGATGATAATAGACTGGGAATTCGCTCTTATCTTTGCCATCTGATTTGCGAATGACTCTTGCTTTGAAGGATTGGCGGGTTTTTATATATATATATATATGAATGAATCGTTTTTCCCGTGGGACCTGGGAATTGATGAATTTGCATGCTGGCTGCTTGATTTTCAGGGGGTATCGGAGAGTGAAACGTTTTTAATTTTGGCCCGAGGGCTGGTTGCTACGTGCTCGATCATTAAACCACGTAATTACATGACATTAATTAGTATATTAATCACCATTAGAATGGGAGAGGGCAGTCTTCTCAAGAAGGACTTATTCCTTGGCCAAAAAAAAAAAGAAAAAAAGAAGAAGAAGGACTTGTTCCTTCCGAAATACTCTAAAGACTTGGTTGGTGGAGGTAAACCGTCGTACATTTTGTCTCTTATTTATTATTATTTTTATATTATTATGATTAATTGTACAGTTTTTTGATAGAATTTTGCTGTTTGTGTTTCTTGTGTTTGATTTAGAGAAGAGCCTCTCATATTTCCTTCCCATCCTTTTTTCTCCTCTAGTTAAAAAATCAATATTTGAACAGTTCAGATTTGATTTTGTACAAAATATTTTTTTATTGTAGTATTATATTACTCATATCAAAGTTTAGCCATTTACATTTAATTAATTATTTTTAATTTATAATTGAACATTATGATAATAATTTTATAAAAAATAAATCTAAACCATTTAAATATTGATCTTATAATTATAAAAAAGAAAAGAGAAGGGAAGAAGATGGGAAGGAAATAGCAAAGGTTGCTCTCTAGCGTTTAATGATGGGATCATCTGAGGGTTGGTGTATGGATTCATTCACTTCACTCACGTTTAAATCAATTTTTTTTTTTAAGTACCATTAACAAAAACTATTCAATTGGCTTAAAAAATAAAAATTATTCAACACAAAGGAATTCGTAAATTTGCTTAATTAAATTAAATAACTTAGTTTTAAAAAAAAGGTCTAATTCTAAAGTTGATTCTATTATTATTTAATATTTTATTATTGCTGGCAAAAAAGTAATATTATTTTTTGTCTAGAATTATAACTGTTATTTTAGATTCTGTTTATGAAAATTAAAATTTAGCCCAATATTAATGCATATGAATATGTTATGTATAAAAGAAACTAATTAAAATGCTATAAAAATCGCATTAAAGAATAATCACATTATTTCGAGTGGCGGGTCGGGTAACGGCCAAGCGGAAGCGTGGCGATTTTAGCATCATCCAAGATAACCAGATGGGGTACCTCACAATGATGGAGTTACAATAACCCCATGGTTCGCAGCCACGCATTGAAATGGCAATTCCTCTTCCTCCAAACCTGCTCTGCTAGCCACCATGGCTTCTGCAACTCACAATTCATCCACTCTCTGCTTCAATCTTCAAACACCACCTAACTGTCTCATTAATCGATCTAGTAATTTTTTGCACTGTGGCCATCGGTATGGAGAGCCTCTCTACTCTTCTATACGCGCCAGGGTTCGCCTTCAGCGAAGGATAAGAGCGCGAAGTAGAGCTTCCGTTCTTACTGTTGTCTCTTTTTCTTCCGCAAATAAACCGTCTCCTTCCTCTGACGTTAGGTGACGTTCCATCTTTCTCTCCCGTAGTCCTATTTTTACCAGCAATGACCTCTTCGGGTTTTACTGATGTTTGTTTTTTTTTGTGTTGTGGGCATCAGCTGGAACATTGGTTAGTTGAATTGATACTTTAATTTGTGCCTAATGCTCCTAATGCTTAGTTCCTGGTTCGAATGATCAGCTAGCAATCAAACAACGAATTTTTCTGGCAATGCATTGGTTTTAAGCTACTTCAGTTTGAAAATGGAGTATTTTCGACTTATGCTTAAATATATAGTGCTTACATTACCATTAGCTGGCTCTATGAACATTAGTATGCAATTTTCTTCTTGATGCGACCCCTAGAGCGTCGAATGTCAAATGAGACATCTTTGTGTGTACTTGCTAATATGACAAGTAAAATGATGAAATGAGTCTTTTCTTTTTAATTTTTGTTCTGCCTGCTTTTAGGCTTTTGTCTAGTTCACATTGAGTTTCTTTTTCATATGGATTTTCATTTTTACGCGATGCTTCAATCATCAGGTTCTGTTTGCCAGTGATGCTTCATCATTAATCGTATTTATTCTTCAGCTCTACAGCCAGGATAAGGAGTGAAGTTCTGTCTCCCTTTCGGTCAGTTAGGATGTTCTTTTATATAGCTTTTGTTGCAAGCGCATCTCTAGGGGGATTGATAACAATCACACAACTTATCGGTGCACTGGGTAATCCATCAAGAGCACCTGAAGTTCCAGTGATTCTGAAAGACCTCGCCATTGACCTCGGAGCGGTGTCTATATTTGCTTTCTTGTACTACAGAGAGAACAAGGCAAAAAATGCACAGCTGTCTCGACTCTCGAGAGAAGAAAGCCTATCAAATCTTAAGCTCCGAGTGAATGAGAAGAAGACCATTCCGGTCAGCACATTGAGAGGGATTGCCCGTCTGGTAATATGTGCAGGCCCAGCATCATTCATAACGGAGTCCTTTAACAGTAGTGAGCCTTTCACAGAAAGCCTCCTAGAGAGAGGGGTACTTGTTGTGCCCTTGGTGACCGATGGGATTCACCTTCTTTGAAGTTTGATGAGAGTGAGGAGCAGAAGCAGGTCACCACCAAAAGGAAGAGGCTCTGGCAGCTTGCTCCCGTTTTCATCACTGAGTGGTTCGAGTATGTTAATCATGAAAATAAATGAATATGCGATTCATTTTACCAAAAATAAATGTGATACAATTTCTTTGACATCATAATTTCTTTGCCTCATAATCTCAATAGGTGGTTGGAAGAACAAAAGAAGTTGGCAGGTGTATCCTCTGAGTCTCCAGTGTAAGTATTATTATTATTCTCCATGTCTTGGTATGTAAGGAGTTAGTGGCATCTTACTTTTCTGCTAAAACCTAGAAATAAAACTTGGCAGTCACTGTGAAGTTATATTGTAACTGGAAGGAGGCAGCACCTGGTATATAAAGTCATATCTTGGGATTCGTTATCATGAACATTGCAGTTGATTTGATGCTATGGTTATTTCTTACATTTAACAGGTATCTATCTCTGCGGCTAGATGGCCGAGTACGAGGAAGCGGGGTTGGGTATCCTCCATGGAAAGCTTTGGTTGCGCAATTACCACCAGCAAAGGGAATTTGGTCTGGCTTACTAGATGGCATGGATGGGAGAGTTCTTTAGAAGAAATAGTGTTAAAGTTGATCTCTCGTAATTTTTTCCCGTTAGGCATCTTCTTAAAGTGGAAAATCCACTACTCCTCATCGAGTCTTTAATGTAATCTTCTTATGAATTGAATCCAAGGTCATGCTTAAATGCATAACAACATCAGGAGAGCTGACCATACTCAGTTATGTTGTACAAACGTGTGTCTATCTTCTCGCGGTAGCCTCCCATTGGAACTTCATTGAGCGTTCATGGATATGGGCAAATTTTTTTCTGAATGATCTTTGCTTTTATCATGTTTTATTTACTAAGTACATGAACTCAACTCGAGGCATTATGTTAAAAAGGACTCCCGCTTTTAATTTCTAGTCATGTCAATTGTTTTAAGGCCATTACTCGGTTGGCATATTCATTCCTACTTCTCTGGCCTCAGGATGGTCGCATTGTAAGTGTTACTGATCACTGCTTCCAATGGAAAAGCTGAGTAATTTATGAGCAATTGCACACGGAACTGGCATAGGGAGCTAAAACGATGAATTTGAGAGAGAAAATACAATACAGATTCATCTTTGTGACAAGAAAATCCTCGAGCTACAAGCATCTTTAAAATTACAATTACATTGGACGACTATTCACTCATTTGACTTCCTCAATCTCATCCAGGGCGTAGTTGTTTGTGGATACATTGGCATAGTTAACTTTGTTGAATCGGACCACGACTGGGTAGCGAGTCTTGGGGTCCTACACAACACACAAATATCAAGCCAAACACAATTAACTTTGGTTTCCGCGGAATCATGTTCCCCACACACACACACACACACACACTGTGCTAGAAATCTCACCTGATCAACAGCAACAACAGAACCAACGCCCTTGTACCAGTAGGATTCCTTCCTAAGAATCTTAACCTGTCAATCGTATTTTACGACCATCAAATTAAACATATGTTAGATGATCCTCTTCGTTCACAACATTTCAAGTTCCACTTTATATTTCACAGATAAGAAACATGAATATTGAAACAGACACAGCAACACACTAGAATTTGGAATGTTTGTATGTAATTCCTTTTTCCTTGTGAGGCTACCAATAACATAAACTAATTTCCCTCATAATGATGAGAGTGAAAATAAAGAGTTGATTTTTCCCCACTATGTTGCTCCATACACTAATTTCAACTTTTTACTAGTTCAATTATAAGTGTCTAACTGACAAATACTAAGCATAAAAAGAGATTCACTTTTCAAGTCTGTGTACTATAACTAGGCTGCCAATGAAATTAAGCTTAAACTGCATAGCATACAAAACTTGCCTTCGCCGTGCGGATGTCTTCCTCTGTCTATTCTCTCACACTGCCGTTGTATGTGAGCATATTACAACTACAAAAGGATAAATTGCCTACATAAAGTGGTCTATCAAATTACAAAGGCTTGGCTCAGACGTGGCAGATTCAAATCCCTCTAATTTCATAATCTAATATTGTAAACCGAGTTATTTAAACAGTCTAATCAATAATGATCTAACTCAGGACACAGTCTCTAAATTAAATAAAAAAGGAAGAACTGAAAAGAAAAGAACAAACCTTAGCTCCTCTCTTGGGGCCAATAGGTGGCGGCTTGGGTTTGGGAGCTTCCGCTTCCGCCGCAGGAGCATCGGGGGCAGGAGGAGGAGGGCGCCGCCGCCGCAGCCTCATCGGCAGCCCTAACCACCAGCCTCGAGTGGTTGTTCTTTGAAGAGAATGCCACCATAGAGCTCCTGGAGGCAGAAGTTGAGCTGCCTCCAACAACAGAAGGCGCCAACACGAATCCGGAAGCAGCCGATGCCATGTTGCAGGTGGCCATGAATGACTTCTCCCTCTCTGGGTATCTTAGAACGAGAATTGAAATCTTTCCAAAGCGAGGCAGAAAAATTAATAGAAGGAAAAGGACAGGAATGAAGATCGAGAGGCTTTGAGTGAGCTAAAAATTGGCGATTATTTAGCGAATTATCTGATCCCCGTAAGCCAGTAGAAATCGTTTCCTCCTCCACTATCCTGCTGCCACCTTTGCACCATATCCCATTCCTCTGGATAATGCTGTTCCAACTCCTCCCCCGCCACATTCCATTTAGTGTACATTTCGGTTTTTTTTTCTTTCCTTTTTTTGAAAACTAGATTTTAGCCCTGCGATTTTTTGGGACTATGCACTTCACAAGTGCTTTTTATTAGAAAATTTTGGGTGCTTAATCATTCTGTTTATGAGAAATAAGTACCTTTTATTTAAGCAAAAATATTTTTATTTAACTAATTTATTAAACTTTGTTATACTGTCATTAATAAATTAGTTACAAATCAATTAATAAGTCATTAGTCAATTTATTAAGTATCGTTATAAAATAAATGAGGACCTTTATTTAAAAAATACATTTTTTATTTATTTATAGCTGGATTATAACTGTTTATGATAAAAATTGATTGGAGTAATATTATTATTAACAAAAAAGTAGAGGAAAAAAAGAAGTGCTCCCACAGGACCACAAAAAGTGCCAAAAAGTACTGTCCAAAATACACTGAAGTTCCCAATCTTCCAAGTGTAAATAAGCCTAGGGGCCACGCCCTCCCCACGCGCCACTCACCCGCTGCCCCTGACAGGAAGGCGTAACCTCAATTCAATCTCAATTGCCTTAATTGATATAAGTAAACAGATTTAAATTTTATTTAATATTAAAAAATAATTAGAATGCTACATAAATAAAAAATATGTTAACATGATATTATAAAAAAATGTGCTTGTATATATTTTATTTCAGAATTTATTGTTCATGCACTTGGAAGTTATTCTAGCAATTTGTTAATTCTTTTTTACAATTTGTTACCCTTGATATGCTAAAGATATGAACGCCTTATTTTATTTCTAAATCTATTGTCAATACAAATATTAAAAGCTATTTTGAAAAATCCATAAATAAAAAAATGCTAATATAATATTATAAATATATAATGTCAAAATAATTATATGTCAGTACTCACTGTTAGGCATGCTTTAACTTTTTTCAAAAATTAAAAATTAAAAAAATGAATATGGAAAAAAGAAAAAGAAAGGAAAAACCATTGCATTTTGAAAAAAGAAAAAAGAAGTTATTAATGGCGCCATGACCTATGACTAGGAGTGTTCAAATCGTCCTGTCCTGGTCTCGATCACTTTGGGACGGGACAGGACGGGACAAAAAAATTTTCAGGATAAGACAAGTTCGGGACTAAATGGGATGCTGTGCGGGACAGGACGGCATGCGAGACAGGGTTGTCCTGTCCCGGGGTATATAATTTAAAAAAAAATTGCAAATATGACAAGTAAATAAAATACAAAGAATTTTATAGATGCCCTGATCTATTATCAGTCCAATCCATCTCCCTTTCAGTCTAGGCTTTAGATACTCACCTCCATCACTCCTTTTGCGACTCCTTCTCTAGCTACTGATTGTCGTGAACGTCCCTACTGTCATCGTCGTTGCAGCTACATGCCTGCATTATCCTTCTTGCCTTCGCTCTGCTCCGTGAATACTCATTGTGTCGCCGTGATTCTTGCCCTTGTATTCTCCCCGTGTCGTGTTCGCTGCTCACTCTCTTGCCTGCCGTCGAGTTGCCGTGAAGTAAGCTCGTTCCTGTTTTTGCCGTTGCTCTGCTATCTTTGATTGTCTCTGATTGCGTCTTCTTACCCTGTCTCTCCCCTCAATCGCCAGCTCTGTCCCCGTGAGCCCATCGCCAT